GATAGGAACAAAAGGAGAAATTGGCAGGAGGGAGTATTTCCTCTAAGCAAAACATTCGAGGCATGGAATCTCGTTTATGGCTACGTTCTAAATATATTGTTGGTCCCATGTACTTCCATGTTTATTGTAGTGATTACTGAATATTGTTCTAATATTAACTTACAGTAATGCAATGAAAACTCCGTAACTAAATACTAAATATTTGTTTTAGAAAAATGAAGTTTGGTATATTTATTTATGAAGTTAAACTACTTTCCTGTCTTTATTATTATTATTTATCTTGCTTTCTTGATATTTTAAAATTATCTTTTTTCTTTTACTTATCTCCCTGTCTATAAATCTGAACTTTTAAAGTTTTAAATTTAAAAAATGATGAAATTAATTATTATATTAATGTTATGATATTTTAAATTTACTTTTAATAATTTAAATATTCTATTTTAAATGTTCCCTTGTTTAGGATTGATTTTAGAATTAATATTTCACTTTTTGAGGTTTCGATCATAAAAACAGGGCAACGTATTTGTCTTTTAGGGAGTTTGGAGTTTATAAATTTATAAATGGAAACTTAAGCTAAATGTAAGAGAAGTTGAGTGCAAATAAATTTCTTTGAGGTTGAGTTGTTATTGGATTATTTATAAAAAGGAAATGTCACATTAATTTCAGGTGTAAAACATTTGACAAGTATCAATGAAAATATCTTACGTTCTTGAAGGACTTAATAAATATATGAGTTAGATAATGTTTAAGAAATATAAAAAAATTAAATAAGTTAAGCTCTTGAAGGATTTAACAAATATTTAACTTAGATAACGTTTAAGAAATTTCAAGCAATAGACTCATGAAATATTTTAAATAAGACTAAGAGCCTGTTTGGTTTAATTAATAATAAAGTTATTATTAAGTTCTTTTGAAAAATGATAATTTTTAGAATTAAGTTAAAACTGTTCAGTAAACTATTTCACAAAATAAATTTTATAAATTTTACTTTCACTCAAAATTACCATAAAGGGTATTTATGTTATCTTCAATCACCTAAGTTATAACGTAATGTTTTAAGTTTATATATAATTTCAGATGTTAAAATCAAAAAAATCAATAAAAAAACGAAATAACTCTTAAATTTATATAATAGCAATAGCATTAGATTTTTGTTGATCTAGCAAACAATCGGATCATAATGCTTCAATTTCTTAAAAAAAAGAGAAAAGAGGAAATGATGTATTTAAGATTAAAATTCTTTTTGGTAAAAAAGAGAGAAAACTTTTAACTAGTATTTGAATGTAATTTTAAATTTTAGATTCTTTTTTCTTTTAATTTTCATAAGAACAAAAAATTTCTAGATTTTGATATTTTGTTATTAGGTCTTCTATTTCTTTAGTAGATTTTGCAGAAAGAGGTAGAGGAGAAAAAAATTGGGATTGATGTTGAAGAATAATAATTTGTAAAAAGAAAAAAAGGAGAGGAAGATTGATTGAGAGGGGCATTTCTTGAAAAATTAATATGTTTTTAAAAAAAGAGAAGAGTAAGCTCTTCTTTGCAGTTTTTTTTTTAATTTTTTTTAAAAAAAGTTATTTTTAAAAAAAATTCATTCAAAAATTATGTTTAGTTTTAACTTTTACTTTTAAGAGATAAGTAAGCTGAGCCAAACCGATACTAAGTCAGATAAGCTTTAAAAAACTCAATCATTATAGGTTGAGAAAAAAAAAATTAAATAAACCGTTCGAACCTAATCCATGTATATAGTTGCGCATAAGAGAAAATTTGTATTTTCTCGAGACTTGACCCAATCTCATATTTACGTGAGTCTACTCCTCTTTTCTTTTTTGTAACAAACTCATAATATGTTTTCATATATAAAAGATTTACCTTTCTTATATTTGATAATGTGAAATATTGAACACTATTATTACAATAATATATATATATATATTACAATGGAAGAAACATAAACAGAAAAAACAAATTAGAAACAACGAACTGGAAAGGTGCAGAAACGACATCCCGTATTTCTTGTAGGTGCAGCTCCTCTAATTACTGCATTTCTTTGGCGTTCATCATCGTTCCTATGTTTTCTCTTGCTACGCTTACTACCGGCTCTAATCCCTGCAGTTCTTATCATTTAATATCAGTTTACTAGTAAGTATCCATCTCTGTATATGCAGACTTAATGTTTAACATACTATAAAATCTAATTTAGCTTCATGCTAATGCAACTGGTGATAATATATATTTACCTCAGTGAAAACACTCATGGCTTCTTCCATGGTCCTCGTCCTCACCACATACATGGCAGCCTCCTGCAACACCAAACTCAATCCAATGAACGAAAAACAAAGAGGAAATATATACATCCGAACAAACCAGTATTGATTTTCAGAGATAAGAAAACCAACTAAACCAAAAACAATCAGACAAAACCTACTCTTGCACATTGGATTTGATTAATGTTAAGAGTCCTTGGCTCACTTTCTATGGAAGATTTTCTATCAATCCTTGACGCTGATTTCGCTTCCATTATTGAGAGAGAGAGAAAGAGAAAGAGACACAAATCTCAAAAACCAAAGAAGAAAGAAGCTTGTTTTGTTTAGTGTATGAAAAGGTTGTTTGGGGTTGAGACAGATCACGTAAGGTTTTGTTGGGAGAGACCACGTAAAAGGGAGCTAAACCTTAAATAGAGGGCTGGGATGTTAGTTAAGTGCACTACGTAATGTCACGTGGCAACGTTTTACGTTATATTATTCTAACCACGTGGCAACTGGCTTGATATAACATGTGGCGGCTGATAACACAGGGTATTACAGAATGAAGAAACCTCCAAGTCAGACATCACCTTAGATCTTTCCCAAAATGGGGAGAAGAAAATCTTCAGCGGCTTCCGTTTCTTTGGTTGATTGCGTATCGTTGTTTGGCAGCAGTTGAACCAATGGGGGATTTCCACGAGTTCTCGGAGGTGAATTTTAATATTGTTGGATTGAACCCAAAGAGGAACACGTGGGCGGATCATGATGGGGATTTTGTCATCATGGGGTCCAGTTGATGTGTTTGACGGGGAGGGTGGAGGGTCACATTTGTGAGATATTTAGTTTTGAGTCTTGAGGGACACACAAAGAATGGTGAGGGGAATTGGAGGACATGTCACGTCCGTGAAATTATTGATGCTTCACCAAAGCTTTTGGATCCTGACTTTATCTACGTTGCTCGTTTGACTCATCCTTATCACTCTGACTATTACCCATACCCACGACCCAATCTGGCACCACAAGAAGAGAACGAGCCAAAACCCAACTCTGCTTTCATAGGCAAGGGCTATAAATTGGCCTGGGTTGAGCGGTTAGGGCCATAAACTAGGCCATGCCAGACACGGGGGATGTAGCATCCTAGGGCCGAATCCGACCTTGCCTGCCACTATTCTTAACTCAGTTTATCCAAGTTCGACCTCGGGCAAGGCTTCAAACAAGGTTGTAATTGGGCTCAACCAGCTAGGAAGGAGTAGGAGAAAAAATCAAAACAAAAAACAATATATGTGTTGATATATCATATTGGCAAAAAAATTTAAAAAAAAAAAATCCAATTTATACCATTTTATTACATTGAGGATTCAATCAGAAGAATTTAAAGATTATGAATTAAAATAAGAGCAATAAAAACAAAAAGAACATCTTGTGGACTTGTTAGATTCTTTCTTTTTTTGTTTGTATTACATGAATGTGAACTTTGTCGGTCTTGCTTCATATTTTTCCGTCTCTTCCCTTAGTCATAGCTAACTAGCTTTGGTTGGTAGGGTGAGTGAAAACAATGGAAAGGGCTGGGCAAATAAATGAAAAAGAGAATGACTTTTATTAGTATTTGGTAAGAGATAAAAGTGAAAAAGGAACAAAATAGGAAAGATTAACAAATTTCTATCAAGCCCTAATGAAGAAGCCCATGACATTAATCCTAATTAGAAGTCCCTTTTAATCAAATAGGTAACAAGTAAATTACATTCTTAACCTTTAAATAAAGGGTTATATATGTTGATCTCTAGCCTCCCATTTATTTTATTTAAATCCCAAATCTTAACCAACGGTTTGCACATATTAGCAGGTATTTTCACAATGCGAATCTTGGAAATCTTTGTACTTTTTTTAAGGTAAAGGAAAGAGTTTTTGCATAGACGGCATTATATATGGCCAACAAGCATATCAAATTGTATTGGACATTAACTTTTTTTTTTCTTTTGAATTTTTGGAACAAAACAATATTGTTTTCTTTTCTTTTTTTTTCCCCCCTCAATTTACAACTGAAAAGTGGAATTCATTTCCTTTATTCATTCCTTGTGTAGGCAGACTTTATGAATGATATAGGACCTACTCCTTAATCAAATTAATGTGTAAAAATCATCATAAATCAAATCTTTCAATGCAAGTCATTCATTATTAATGGCAGGGAGGAAGGATATAATTTTGAAGAGTGCATTGTTTGCTTTTATAATGTACAAAATGAAAAAAATAAATAAGTACCATCTACTGGGTCTTCAAATATAATGCTCACAGTAGCAAGTCTTTGGTCAAATATAAAGACAAAACCAAGACATGACCTAAAGTCATGGATAAGATTTTTTGTTGGTTGTGGCAATTATTCTGTGTCTCCTACACAGCACAATTTTTGTTTGAATGCCTTTTAGTCTCCAAATCATATTCCTCTCCATACCTAAGAAACACAAAGAGCTTTGTTATATGCAAAGCTAAAATAAAACTAATCACCAACAAAAACCCACTTTCTACTAATACATAAATCCTAATCAGTGCTTTTCAGACTTGGTGCAAGAAATCCCTATTCCATGCTTATGCCAACAATTCTCTAAACAACTAGACGTTGACACTTTTATGAACATGTAAATATATAATTAGTTAATTAATAAAATTGAAACCCAAAGTCGAAATTTGATGGGTTTGATGAGTATAAATGAATTATTCCATGCTAATGCTTATACCTTTCCCTCATTATTGCACAAGCTGAGACCTGAGAGGGACGAAAAAGCCCAAAAACGAAAAGTAGTTGCATTGGGCATAGGACAGGTTTCCAGCTCAACAAGGCATCAGAGTTTCAGACGATCCCACTTGTGCATGTCCAAAACATCTTCCCAGCAATGATAGCTCCTTTCCTTCACAAACCACAGTCTCTTTCTTGTTATAACTATTTCCACTTACCCTAAAAAAGTTTGCCTCAGTTTCTTCACCGTCCCCTTTAACAAGACAAACTGACATAACCGAACTACCCTCCCCAATAACCCATCTTTCATTCCCAGCATAAATAATGGAACAAAAGTTTATATGAACCAAAACCTGTTTTTGAGTTTCTCGCAATCATAAAGCAGAGAGAGAGAGAGAGAGAGAGAGAGGGCGGGGGGAGTTTTCTCTCTGCTGCTTTCTTCGTTCTCAACTCGGTTCCTGACTCGTTGTTCTTCCTAACTTGTTCTTCTTTGACTCAGTTCGTCGCTCGGTCTTTTTACCATGGACGATCCTGCCCGTCGGAGACACGGCTCTCGCCGCCGATCGTGGTGTTGCACGTTCAATGTACCTCCGTCAAGTCCTGAAAACCCTTATTTGTCACAGCATTACCGTAGCAATAACAGCAACTGCAAGACTAAACTGGGTCCACAAAAGACTGACTCACTCTCCAAACTCACAACCTCCAGTTCTGTCCCGAACTCACCCCAGAGTTCCAAATCCGGGTTAACTCTTGTGGGTCGGATTGACCCTCGTCGGATCCTTTCACCCGGCCGAGTTTCCCCTCTTGAACACACTGATTCCTTAGAAGAGGGTCGCCACTCTTCACACGCCGCCCCATCCGCCGCTGTCGATTCCATACCCAGATCGCGATCGAGGAGTTTTCGGGCCAAAATAGAGAGTCCGGATACCCACTCGGGTAAGGATCCGGGTCGGGTCGAAGGAGAGAGAGGAGGAGTGTACGATGTGAGGCTGAATTTGAAAGGTAAACATGGTGGGGTTTTGGTGTTGGAGCTGAATTCTGGGGTTTTGGCTTCGAATTCGGAGGTTTTCGCGGGTTTGGTTGCGGGTTCTCTGGGGAGGAAAATGTGTAGAATAGAGGTTCCTGAGGTGGAAAATTTAGGGGTTTTTAGAGAAACCATTGAGCTTATGTTTGAAGAAAATATAGCGAAGAAGCTTGTCAAAATTGGGGTTTATAGAGCTATTGATATACTTGAGGTTAGTCTTTTTTCTGTTCATCTTTTTGTTCAAGAGTTTTATCTTAAACTTAAAATTTGGGTCCTTTTCATTTTATCTTTTTCCATTGAAATGTTTGGTATCTGTTGGTATTTTTAAGATAACTATGTTCAGCAAAAAAATTTTGTTTTAAGAAAATAGGAAGCTTAGCGGAAATCGTATTCCTAAAAAAGACCAAAATTATCACACAAGTTATCTTCCCTTGGAAAATCATGAGTGCTTGTTAAAATCAAAGTTTTTTTTTATTATTTAAACTTTAAAGATTGATCAAGTTGAGGGATGGAAATATATGAAACTCTGATTTTCTTATCATGTAGAAAATCATATAGGAAGCCAATGATTAGGAAGATCTTCCTTTTATTATTGGTCAAACGTCCTGTTAGATTTAGGACCAGACTTTTACCATGTTTCTTGCCCTAGTTTGACAAATCAAGGACTTCTTTTGTTGTCTCTGCATGTAATTCTTGAATGAAGAATACTTGTTATAGGAGCTTTCTTAAAATTTTGGAGATTGTGAAACTAATTTAGAAGAAGTTTCTTATTGTTCTCAAGTGTTTTCTTTTCCTTGTTCGACACAAACTGTTCTCTGCTGCCTAATATGCTATACTGTTATCTATTAACTGAGTTAAATATCAGTCAGTGCATAAGATATAGCACAAGCGTTTGAGTAGGATTATAGTGAACAAAATCTTACTGAATTCTGCTTTACTGATTTCAAGAAAACTTCTAAGTTGAAGAATATCAATTGGCAAGTTAACCGTATGGAATGAGAGCCATCAAGAAAGTAATTCTTGAAGCCTGATTTTGACATAAAATTCAAGAATATTAGTGAACTGTGATAGTGTTGCATGTAATTTCCATTATGAAAAGTGTAAATTTTCTAACAAGGAATTATTCTCTTTACTAAAATTTATTACTGTAGAAAATATAGAGTACTCCTCATGGGGGGTTTTTTCAATGACGCGGGCAAAATTTTTAAATGACCTTTGGTGGCCACAGGAAAACAAAGTTTTTCCTCCTATCTCTGTGTTGTAATTTCCTTTCAACTAAATTAAGATTTTTATTTTAAGTTGTGCTTGTTATCTCCAACTCCCGTTCCTTTTAATATCTGGGCAATTCTTCCTTGGTACAATTTTCTCTAATTTTGTTTACATTTCCTCCTTTTCTGAACCATGAACCATAATTACCAAGCACAATTGCTGAGATCATTCCGAAAATTTCATTTTTCCCCCCTACAGAACAAGCCCCGAAACCTGTTGAATTGGTTACTGACTTGAATTTCAGCAATCTTTGTTCTTAGCTCCAGAAGCTACTTTTTTGTACAACTGTCACTGCCACCAATTCAAGCTTGATTTCGTGCAAAAGCCTTAACCCCTTTCCTAGCGTAACTCTGCCCAAAACCTTAAATTTTTTTAAACTTAGCAGAACAAAATAATCGCTTAGGCAAATCAAGCTATTTACCTATTATTTCCTTTTTTGTCTTAATGGAGTAGCCAATAGTAAAAAGGTCCATACTCAATTGTTTTGAGTTTTCCTTTTGTATTTTTTAGCTAGAAAATTCGCAACCCATAGTTATTCATTTATTTCTTCATGTTATCTGATTTCATGATCTCCTTTTACAATTTTTGTGGCATTTGGACTCTTTTCCTAAGTTGATGTTCCGAATAATATTATTTGTACTTACATGTACTTTTTTAAAGAACAAATTTAGATCTCTTTAGTATTTAGGATACATATATAATATGAGACTTGCTTGATGACTACTCTTTCATGATAAAGTCAAAAAGTTTTGTTGACTATTTGTGGATTCAATGCATTTTGGTGCCATGATGCACGGTGAGAGAGCTAGCAGCTCAATAAATTTTATGTAAAGAGGTTTATCCTTTTAGGATCTAGTGGTTTTCAATTTAATCTTGCAGTACCATCATCAGTTAGCTATAAACTGGGCCTGCATTTAACTTGGTTTTCAAATGGTTGATAAATCTATCAGGCTTATCAACAGTAGTCCTCAAGAAATATGGACTGAACCCTTTGGATCTTAGTTTGGGTGGTAAATTATCAGGCTGTAGACAGCTGTAAGCTCTAAGTTTAAATAAATCAGTTGAAAACAAGCGAGGGGAAGAAGGGGCTTTAGACTGGTTTTGCTGAGAGCTATTCTAGGGCAGTCGGCTTGGTATCAAGTCTGGCCATGCTAATAGATTGGGTTCATTGTCCACGTGGTATGAGAATGGTCCTAGGAAGAATAGCTATGAGATTGCATATTGATCTAGACGGCTTACTGTTTGTGAGATATACTGAATGGTTAGGTTGCCTACTCGAATTGCCTAAAAAAAGAGATGTTGACCATTTACTTTTGGGTTCTTTTCCCTTATTAGACTGCACATCCATATATATTCATGTAGGTAATTTAAATGCCCTGAGCAGACAACTTTCCTGCCATCGTGCCACTGCTGCATTTTCATTTCAGAAGTCATTGCCTTTTATTTTCATTCTGATTATAATATATATGGTAATTATCTGCATATGCTAACTTGAACATTTTGGCTTTAGTGGTTTTTTTTTTTCCGAAGACAAAATTGTGGAGTTTAAAAGGTTGCCTCTAGAAGTTGGAAGAGGCAAAATGGATAGTAAAAGATATGAAACCATCTTTAAAAAATTCATTCTTCTTGCCATGCTATCAACTAATTTTAAGCACTTTGCTTGATCACTGCAATGAGAACTTCAAGCCTCCTTGTTTAGGTATTTTTCTTTGATTAAAATACTAAAGCATCATTTGTAATTCCAATCAGGTATCAGCTGGCATTATGTTTAGCAGAGGTGTTTTGTCTTGTTTAAAGTACCTCGAAGCTGTTCCTTGGACTGAGGAAGAAGAAGAAAAATTAAGGAGCCTGTTTACAAGGTTCAAGTTCGATGATGCAACAAGTAGAGATATCTTCGCAAGACTATATTCTCAGGAATCAACAGATACCCATCAAAATTTAGCCAGACATCTTGTTTCATCTATCACCACCTGCTCTGATGCCAATGCAAGAAATGAGCTCAAGTCACTGGTCAAGGGTCTCCTCAGCAAAAGCTCAGTTTATGAGAAGGAGCAACCTGATGTCAACAAGGAGGACTTCTATGCTGTTTGCCAATCTTGTGTGAGTCTGCTAGTCAACCTGTTTGAAGAGGCCTCCGATGCAATAACCCATGAAAGGAGGGCCGAAAAGGAGATGGGAAAGCCTCTAATTGAACGCATCTCCAGACAGGTGGATAATATCAATTGGCTGCTGGAGATCTTGCTTGATCGACAGATAGCAGAGGAATTTGTGGATCTCTGGGCCCATCAAGGGGAGTTGCTTAAAATGCATGAGAGAGCGTCTCCCATGGTAAGGTATGAGCTAAGCCGGGTTTCAGCAATTATATTCATTGCAATGGGTACAAGGAAGCTGCACTGCCGCTCTGAGGCCAGGTCAGGGCTTCTACAATCATGGTTTGGCCCAATGCTGTTGGACTTTGGTTGGCTGCAAAGATGCAGAAAGGGGCTTGACATGAAAGCATTGGAGGAAGCTATGGGTCAGACCCTCCTTACACTTCCTCTGAAGCAGCAGTATGTGCTGTTTATGGAGTGGTTTCGATGTTTCTCCAAGCATGGCACTGAATGTCCTAATCTCAGCAAGGCCTTCCAGATTTGGTGGCGCAGATCTTTTCTTAGGGGCTCGGAAACATATGCCATCGAATCAAGGTAATTGCGTAATATTCTTTTAATTTTTTGTTTCTCCCACATGTGTGTGATATTGCAGCAGTGTAGTGTGAGAGATTCACAAACATCTGTAAGGGAATAATGTAGATTCTATGTAGAATTGTTGTAACCACTTTACCCTGTAAGAGGAAAATGGCATCCTATGTTCTTTTGAATCGATCCTTGTGTATTTATATGCTCACAAGAATACCATTGTCAAGTCAGAAAGTAGGAAATACAGCAACATGCAGGCCAAAACTAAGCTAAAGAATACAGAACATTCTTCTGGTTTCAAAGAATAGCAATCCTGAGGTTCTGTTGAGTAGAATTTGTAGTTGATCAAAGATCCAACGTGTAAGGTTAGAATGATATGTTTTTTTGTTTTCATTTTAGTTTTGGTATTGGCCTGATCTTACCAACTAAGATAGCTCGGTGTTTGCCAGCACTGGCAGGATAGTTGATATGGCTCGGCTTTAAGGGTCTGATAGGGCACTTAAACCTCCGTGATTGAAGAAAAAAAGTGGAAATGGACACAGCTTTTTCTTTTCAAAAGGGGCAAACTATTATCACCTTTGTATACAAACGTTTTTTCAATTAATTACTTTGAGTTGTCAGAAATTAGATTATTAATTTAAACTAAGTTCATTCATTTTAAAAGAATTATTTATTAATAACTTAACCCAAAATGTTGGTGAAGCCCGTTCTATTTGAGGAAAAATCTTAGAACGAATACTATTTTGTATATGCTTAAAAAAGAAGAAAAATACTTTCATAAGGTTTTATAAATATAAATTGGTGTGCCCATACTATTATAATTGTGATGTGTCACGTCAACTAGATATTTTCTCCGGTCGTTATGTTCAGAAGAAGGGCACTTATAAGATGTTACGCCACCCCAGCATTTTGATCTTCTTTTACCTTCAAGACCGCTTACTTTCTCCACTGCCCCGAATCCAACGTTCCAGAACCAATAGACGCAACCTCCATCATAGGTCTCAGCGTTACGGGAATGGACCCCAAAACCAAATTGTATATTGATTGAGAATCTAAATTTGGGTTACCGAAAAAGGGCTAAATGTCCCAAGCGTCAGGCTGGGCTCAGTAATCAACGGCCGTTACGTTTTCTTAAACGGTGCATTCGATTGCCGCGTGGCAGGTCCATACACTGGCGTGTAAGTTTGTGATGTGATTGTGATGCTACGGGGACCACCTCGTCATCGGATGCTATGCATCCATCCTTCTCATGCATGTCTAACCGCCCATGCCATTGTTGATGTTATTATGCTATGCCCCATGCCTGGAAAAAATTTTTAGGATATGATGTGATTACTCTTTTATAACCTAAAAAAATCAAATACAAACTAAAACTATTATTCTATTAATAAATTAGAAATTTCCGAAAGATAAAGAAAAGAATTTCTTTAGTGTGCAAAAGCTTTTTTTTAAAAATTCTGATACTTTAGTATACTTTTTTAAATATAAATATAAATATAGACAGAGAGAGAGAGTTGGAGATGCTTATTTAGAAAGAGACGAGAAGTTCAATTTAAAAGCCTTCAAATCATGATCAAATAGCAATAATCTCCTTAATGGCCATTTGTGGGGATGTCAATTTTTGTTTCCAAACCAAATATTTAACTTATTTCCAATAATTTAAAAGTCTAATCCCCTTGATATTAGGAGTTTAATTTCAATTTTATGTGGCTCTTGTTTATTTTGTTTTGACAAAAGTGGCTTTTTCTTAATTGGTTTGGAATTGGGGGCCTTATTTTGTGCGTTCCCCTTTAAAATCCTTCAATTTGGGCAAGAAAATATATAATTTCCCAGAATAAATCTTCTGGTCCAAGCATCACATAATTTAGACAGTTTTTCTAAATTATTCTGCTCCATTATGAAAGTTGTTCACAATAATTAATAATGGACCACCTCCTAGGCTTGACCCTAACTTCTTATCACCATTGAGTCTGCCATGGAACTTAGTATCAAAGCATATCTCCTATTTTTATAATTATTTTTGGTTTATCTTGAGGATTCACTCTTGGGGATTGAAGTTAATTACTATTATATTTTGGTAACGATCTTTTTGCATTAAGTTTGGTAATTAGCATATTCTCTCTCTCTTTTTACTAGTAATTAACATATTCTTATTCAAATTATATATTTTAGTTCTTTTAGTTGCACATCTTTTATTTATTCTTTAATTATTTGTTTTATAAATGAACTTATTATGCTCTAAACAAATTTTTTTACTTAGATGAAAATAAGAAAACATTAAGTAAGAACCTAACGTAATGTCAATAATACGTCGAGAACATGTAATCTTTTTCATAAGAAAAGGAAAATTTGAAATATATGTAATTATTAAAATATAATGTGATAAAGGAAAAGAGTAAATCTAACTTTACTTTGAAAAAGATGATTATTACACTAAATGTGATAATTAGGAATATTTTTCACGCCAAAATATAAAAACATTACTTTTATTGTAGACTAAAATGTTTATATCTATACTAATAAGAAGTTGAGTTTGGACTGTAAATGATTTTAAGTTCCAATATGATAAGATATTGTCATGTTAATCTTTAACACACTATTTTGATAAAAGACTTATATCTTAACCAGATTTTATTCATAAAAAAATAAAATAATACATGGATCATGTTTTTTATTTTATTTTATTTTATCTTATCATGTGTTCAATTAATCAATAATTATTCTTAAAATATGTTTTAAATAAATACATGTCAATCTTATAAATTTACTTGTAAAATTAAAAAAATTTTATCCTGAATGCAAATAATTTATAAAATAAATGAGAAGTATATGAGATGAGAATCATCATCATCATGATCATCATCATCATGTAACATGTCATTCGCGTTAGAAACACACATGGACTCCACAAAATAAAAAAGAAAAAGAAAAGAAAAGAAGAAGATTTGACTCTGTAGATAGAAATAATGAAGAAAAAAAAAGGAAAAAACATAAAAACAAAAAAAATGAATTAAATCCAAAGGAATTTTGACGTCCGCAGGAACACACACATAAACTCTGGGTACACTCTCTTTCTTCGCTCCATGCGCCTTTCATCTCTTTCTATTTCTAAAGAAAACAGACTGAAGAAAGAAAGTGCAGAGACTGCAATAAATACCCAAAAAGGCCAAAAAAAAGAGAAGGATATATATGTAAATAAAATTGTACGGACGTATATAGATATATATTAATACTTATAACAAAAATGATAATCTGTTGATAATGTTTTGTTATCACATTGAAATTCCAAAGAAATCCAATTGGAGAAGAGCTTTACGACAAAATAAAAATCATTACTTTAAATAATTAATATTATTATATTCGGCTTTGTTTGGAGTTGTGTCTGGTATCTTCTTGGGTTTATTGCGGAAAAGATCAACATTTTCTTCTCTGAAGAATTTTCAACACTGCCACTTGACACTGTAAGTTCTCTCCCTCTCTCTCTCCTTTCTTTTCTTTTCTTTTTTCATGGGTTCTCTTTGTTCGGGAGAATGAAGAACAAAAAGTTCTTCACTTTTTTTCCCATACTTTTCATATATCTTTTCTTTGTCTTTGGGATTTCATGTCATTGGTGAATTATGGTATTCTTTTCTGTGTTTAATATGTGGGCTTTCGTTGATGTCAAGCCTCTTTTTTTATTGTGGGTGTTGGTTTCTGGGTTTAGAATGGGAGGAAGGGTTCAAATTTTACTGACTCCGGTTGTGATTTTAGCGTTAAATTCTTGGATTTTCTTTGTTTTTCCTACATTTTACTTGCAACCAAATATAGATGAAAGCTTCATTTTTTTTTGTTTTTTGAATTTGGGAAATGGAATTATTTCACTTTGATCCCTTTTTTTTTTTCAATCTTGTTTTTCACTTTGCATAATGTCACTATCATTTTCTTTTGATACTATTATATTCTGCTTGAACCATATTTGCAAATATACGTGCCAAGTAGAGACAATTATTTGGTGGTGGGTTTTGGCTTTGTGTTTTATGATATTGTATTTTAGGGCTTAATTGTTCTAAATATCAAATAGAATTTTCACTAAATGGTCTCAGCTTGTGGCCAAAGATTCTTATTTGTGAATAAGTTCTGAAATTCTTGTAATGGTCATGACCCTTTTTCTTGCTTGGGATTAACCCTTTTATTGTCTATAATTCAGGTTCTAGTGGTCAGAAGGAAACAGGTGTTACTTCTGTTCCAAAATGCTGACAAGCTGGAGGTGTTGGTTCTGAATACTGCCTGGATATTGCTTCTTGGTGAATAGAATTTAGATCTTTCTCTGTCAAGGTGCCTGGGGAGGCTCAGCAGGATATCTGGGTATGGTGACTTCAAGCCGTATTAGTTCACTTTGGTGAATTTGTTGAGCTGTTGTGGTCTTATTTCAAGGAAAATGGTGCCGTCTGGGCCACCAACTCCTATTGGTGGTGCTCAATCTGTTTCTCCAGCACTTATGCGATCGAATTCTGCCATTTTGGGGTCTCAAGGTGGTTCAATGCCTCAGCAAGCAACATTTTCTTCACTTGTTTCACCAAGGGCACAGTATAACATGAATTTGCTAGGAAGCACTGCAAACATTTCATCACTTCTCAATCAGACTTTTGGCAATGGGGGTTTGAACTCTGGCCTATCTGGTGTGAGTGGTTTCCAACGGGGAGGCTTTGATGCCGCAGCTGACTCTGATGCGCTTACTGCTGTAGCAAATGAGATTGGTTTTAATATACCTCCTTCTTTCACACCATCAAATGTTGCAAACTCTGGGTCATCAGCCCAACTTCAGAATCAACAAATTTCAAACTCTTCTGGAAACCCTGCACTGTTAGATCAACAGCAATCTCAAGTTCAGCAATTTGAGCCACAAAAGTTTCAGCATAATCAGCAGCCAATGCAACAGTTCCCTCTTTCTCACAGCCAATCACAGCATCAACAGCAGCAGTTTCAATCAATCCGAGGAGGGTTAGGGGGCCCTGGTGCAGTCAAGTTGGAGCCTCAGACTATGAATGATCAGGTTGGTCCCCAGCAACAGTTGCAGTCATTCCGAAATCATGGACCAGTGAAGCTAGAGCCTCAACAGAACCAAATTGGAAGAGGCATAGCACCTGTGAAATTGGAGCGTCAACAGTCTGATCAAGCAATGCTTTTGCAGCAGCAGCAGCAACAGCAGCAGCAGCAGTTCCTTCAGTTGTCCAGGCAGTCTTCTCAAGCTGCTATTGCGCAGATGAATCTTTTGCAACAACAGCGTTTATTGCAGATGCAACAACAGCAACAACTGTTGAAATCACTTCCTCAGCAAAGGCCTCAACTACAGACTCAATTTCAGCAGCAGAACTTGCCTATTAGATCTGCTGTTAGACCAGTTTATGAACCAGGAACTTGCGCTCGGCGTTTGACCCAGTACATATATCAGCAACAGCAACAGCGCAGACCTAATGTAAGATGAATTCTCTTGTGGAATGATTCGTTCTTCTGGTGATTGCCGTTTTACTTGGTAATAACACTTATTCTCAATGCAGGATAACAATATTGAATTCTGGCGGAAATTTGTTGCGGAGTTTTTTGCTCCTAATGCAAAGAAAAGGTGGTGTGTTTCGTTGTATGGAAATAGTCGCCAAACTAATGGTGTTTTTCCTCAGGTATGTTGTTTAAAGATATTAATTGACTTACACTTTACTGTCAATAGAGAGAGGAAAAGCTGGTGTTTTAGAAAGAGAGAGGAATAGTGGTTGGCATGGAGTATCCTTGGTGCACTCCCTTCCTGGATTTTAAATTCGCTAAATGATGAAAGTGTGAAATGTCAATAATGAGGTGTAGCAGATAATTACCTTTTCCATGCAGTTAGACTCTCAAAAAAGAAAAAAGGGAAAATACTGTCAGATAAGGTGCTGTAGTTTCTGTTGTACCGCTGGCCTCATTCAAGGATAAGTATGAAGAATCTAGTTCCCCTTGTGAGATACATAGGTGTGAGACAAAAGATATATCATTTAAAAGGACAAATATAATCTCAAGTGGGCAGTCATCAAAAGTAACTATGGAAGTGGTAGTTGGTTTTGGGGATATGATAATAATTTTCTCCATAGATGTTAAGTAAGATTTATGTGCTTGGAGAAAACAGATTTCTATTGTTATAAAGGAAAACTTTGGTTTTAGCAATAGAATGAGAATTTAGTACTATGTTGTCGGTTGACAGGGGAGCATGTAGACTTGGCAATTTTGGAAATAATCCGTTAACACGACACAAGAACGACATGAGTTTAGCGGGTTTGACTTTTGGGTCATAGTGTTTTGTGTGTTAATCATAGTGACATTTTAAGATATGACCATTTAGTGTCTTAAACGGGTAAACCTATTTAATCCAGTTAATTAATCGGGTTACCATGTTGACCCATATAACCTACTTATGAACCCATTTAATATAATTATTTAAAGGACTGTTCAAATCTTGTTAAAATGATTTTAAATAATTAATTTTAGGAACCTTGATAATTATTATGTTGTTATAGTTACTTTATGATTATTATTTTTAAATTTTAATAATGGTGTTATATGTTTTAGTAATAAAAAATTTTAATTTAAACAGGTTATTTCATTAAAATCAAATTTGAACATGTTACTTGATGTTAATTGTGTTTAAAAGGTTGTCAATTGTGTTGTGTCATATAAAATTTAACTCAGCGTGTTTAATAAACGTGTTAGTCATGTCATATGGTGTCATGTAACATATCCAATAAATATATCTGTGTACGTGTTTATGCCTATGATGCATTTAATTAATCGTATCATGTTTGATTTACCCATATAACTACTAATATGATTAAGACGCATGAATACGAATTGCCAGGTCTAGAAGCATGCTAGGATCTTGTTTGCCTATCTATTTATGTCATTGGAGAATGCTTCACAAAGCTTAAGATTTTGCTGTTTGGTCATTGTGAGGAAATATTAGAAATTTAATTGCAGTATTTGCAGGACTTATGGCACTGTGAAATATGCAACCGCAAGCCTGGTCGTGGTTTTGGTATGTTATTTCTTTCACCACATTTTATGGTTATTTAAAGACTTACTTTTGGGGCTGACTATATCTTGTCATATTAAGCTCGGAGCTGATATATCTTTTCATAAAAGTGTTCTGTATTCTATTTAAATGGTCCTGCTTCTTGGCTAATGTTTTATCGAGTTCTGCATCTATGAGCATTGGAAAAATATAGGGACTACTATGGATTCAATCTTTTTATTTTACTGTCATTTGGCATACATTAAGTGACAAAGCTCTAATCTCTTGCTTTAGCATTAAGACATTGTATCTGAATGCAATCCTTTGAACATATACAGGATACATTTGATGCCTGCTTTAACCGGGCTTTCTTTGCATGATAGAAAGAAATATTTAGACATTTAACCAAAAGAAGTGGTGCATGCTACCTTTCTTAGGAATTGTCTCTTTGGACATGCATCGTAGTTTAGGTACATAGGGTTCATTTACGGCAACACTGACAAGTTGGGTCTTCAATCACTACTTTTATCGTCTGAGTCTTAAGTATCATAGACATTAGGCTGTTGCCCTATCTGTTTACTCTCAGGTGGATTGATAAATTCCTTTTACTTAGTCTTCACTTGAAATGCCATAAAGCTATATTATATATATGAATCAGGCATAGGTGATACTATTTTGCTTCTTAACTATTCTATCCCATTGTATTAAAGTTTTAGGAATGGAAACGGAAGGGGTAGAATGGTGAAACTATTGAAAATAAGATGATTGGTGATTTTAAGGGAATAAATCTATTTTCTTTGGACTCCATGTAGTTAGTTCCAATATAATGACGAAAACTATAGTTGAATGTATAAGTTTTATTCTTCCATGGTGCACAAGTGTATCACTATTTAATGAGTGGTTTGGCTTTCAAACCAAATGACTGGTTCATGGAAAAGGAAACAAAGATATGCCTTAAAAGCTAAACAGCTGAAAATCTAAGTGGAATTTTGTTCATCTTCTGTGAGAGAGTTAAGAATATGACCTTGTATCTATGTGGGAAAAAGTTCTATTATTTCTTGTCCCACATTGCACAAATTACACATGTGAAAAGCATCCCCTCATTGTTGCAATGGAATTTGATGTAAATGTCAAAACTTTGCTTTTGAAACACTTTCTTTGTCCTCTCAGAGACAACTGTTGAGGTTCTGCCCAGGCTATTTAAAATCAAATATGACAGTGGCACTTTGGAGGAGCTTCTTTATGTTGATATGCCACGTGAATATCATAATGCGAATGGTCAAATTGTCCTTGACTATGCAAAAGCAATACAAGAGAGTGTCTTTGAGCATCTTCGTGTAGTACGGGATGGTCAACTTCGTATTGTGTTCTCTCCAGATCTAAAGGTTTGAAGATGCTAAATTCTATGTGTTAACAGAGGTGATAACTTTTGGCACTTCTAATGGGTTGACATTCTGTTTATCTTATCATTCTGTGTTCATGCTATCTAGATTTGCTCTTGGGAGTTTTGTGCACGACGTCACGAGGAGCTTATTCCTCGAAGGTTGATCATACCTCAGGTATATACACTGATGTTTTATATGTCTGATGTTGATTTATGTGCTTAAGTAGCAGTCTTGCGACATCCTCTCATGGAGCCGCGATGAGTGTAAATCAACTTGACTTTGTTAAGCGTCATTGTAATGCTGGTTCACTAAAAAATCTTTCATTGTTGAGTTAGTTCCTTTCATCTTCTCTCTAAAAGAACATAGATAAGCCTACTTTGTTTTTTTTTTTTTTGGAAATGGTGGAAACAGGGAGTAGTAGAAGGTGAAGGAAAAAGTTAAAGATCCCCCTCCCCCCTGGTCCTCCCATTTCCCCACCCTGAGCCTTGAAAAGGAAAAATCTCTGTTTTTTCTTTGGGGTGGGGTGGGGTGGGGTGGGGGGCGTGATTTTTTTTCCCTGCCTTTTGTGTTTGCTCTGACTTATCTTCTCTGGTGGAGGTGTTAAGGGTGGTAAAATGGTGTTTGATGAACTGAAAAACACCCTTTCATGGATTCAATGAAGCCTTTATCCCAGTACAAGTTGGGGAAGAGCTTCATTTTCATGGACTTTGGTTATTGATTAAAGTTGTTCCCAGGTAAGTCAACTTGGAGCTGCTGCACAGAAGTATCAAGCATCGGCACAGAATGCATCATCCAACTTATCTGCAGTGGACTTACAGAATAACTGTAATATGTGAGTTTTCTATTCTTAGTAAATCATTCTAATAGTTAATGAATTATGTTCTCCATGTGGTCTGTGTGAGATGTGAGTTATTTATTCATAACTTGAAGAAGGTGTCATCCATGGAATCAAAACACATTGGATGAAAAGGAGAAGTGCTACGCAGATGCCTGCCAAATTTGAAAGGAAAGTCATAAAAGCATAAGGCCATACTATGCTCTACAGTGTTGATATCGGTAGGGTGGTTAGAAGACGAAACATCCGTAAGATGGGTGTAAATGAAACGGAGATGTTGAAATGTCATTTAAGAAAAGCTAGACTAAGAAATGAAAATATTCCTAAGAACATATAGCTTGCATGAAATGAGGATGAGTTAAGAGAAGGATAACTTAAATGGTTTACTCATGTGCAATATAGATGTAGGGTTGCTCCCTTACTCTCATAGGCAAGAGTGATTTGATTCAATTAGGTCTGAAGTGGAGGCAGGTAGGGAACTGATGAGAAGGGACTTGATTGATGTCTTTGGAACCTTTAAAGGATATAACTTCAGATCAAGTGGGTGAAGAAATGAATTCATGTATCTGATCCTGAACTTTTTGGAATTAAAACTCAGTTGTGTTGTGTAGATGATAGTCAGAACATGTTTTAAATAATGCGCCTATATGTTACTTAATGGCAGGTACAAGGGTGTACTTGGATATCTAACTGAATGTGATGTAGAAGTGTTGTTCTTGCAAAAAACGCTATTCCATCTTTTCCTGATTCACATATTCCACGCACCATTTGTACATATGTATAGTAGTCACTTATCACATATTTCACTTGTCACTTTTGTCAATAATACAAGTCATTCTTGCAGGTTTGTTGCATCTGCTCGTCAATTAGCAAAAGCCTTGGATGTTCCTTTAGTTAATGATTTAGGATATACAAAGAGATATGTCCGGTGCCTTCAGGTATTATAGGTGTCAACTTTGTTTTCTGTTGTTCTGAAGTACAGCATTTCTTTATGGCTTCTCTTTGTGCTCAAGTAACATTGCCAATTTTGTTAATCTCAAATCATAACTTTTTTTATTTGGTAAAACCAGTCACATGGCATGATATGGCTTTAACATGAGAAAAATTACAAATGCACCAAAACATGTTGTTACTTGTTATTTTTCTTTCTTTTTTCTTCATATTTTTTAATAACTTCTTTTATGTCTACAAATATTGGGATCTTCCCTCTTCCTTTTTTCTTCTGTAATTGCTCTTTTTATTTAGCTATTCTTTTTATCATGCAAATTCAACAATTGAACAATATCTAATAATTGAATGATTGAATGTTACTTGCTACTAAATCAAGCCTTAATTTCTCTTTTTGTCCAATATTAGAGTCATCTAACTAGATTTTACCATATTTAGAAATTGAGTGGTTTGAGATTTATGGGGTTAGCAATTTATACTTGTTTGTACGAAATTCTATAGGATGAGATGAAATTTTCCACAATAAAACCACAGGGACTGATCTAAATTTGTAACATAAAAAAACCATGTCATAATTTTTATTGTTAGAGTTGCACACGTTAGCACTGCTAATTGGTGCCCTTTGTGGCACATAAGTAGCAGTATGAGTAAATAGAGATATGCTTTTTACAAATTAATGTTAAGGAAATAATCTCAAGATTTCATGAAATTATAGGGACTAAATTCATAATGGGACTAAATACGTCCTTAAAATCATTTTATTTTTATTTTTTGTATTTTGGTGGCACCTGTCAGGAATAGGGAGATAAATGCTGTACTGATTGAAAAATTAATTGGTAAATAGATGAGCCTTATCATAATAGTGGGGTTTAAGCTTGATTAGATTGTAGGTCTTTCGATCAATGAAAATGATTAGTGGGCAAAACTCCTTTATATGATTAACATTAATATATTATTTTTTAAATCCTTTTCATATTATCCAACATTTCTTCTTCATCTACAAATATGCCTTCTCCCAATGGTGTTTTGTCTACTCTCATATCATCTTACATGAAGCACAAATTCAAAGCTATTGGCTAGACAAATGATATTACCAGCTTAGCTTAAGAGGAATTATAAGCTTATATGTGATCTAACTGGTGGTTTCCTGTTTGTTCTGGTTAACCAATTGCAGATATCAGAGGTTGTTAATAGTATGAAGGATTTGATCGATTATAGCCGAGAGACAGGAATGGGACCCATGGGTATTCTCATTAAATTCTGCTCTTCCAATTTACAGTCGTTATTCGTGTTCACTGATTTATTAAGAAGCATTCCTGTTGATCAATTGTGTTATGCCTATGCCTTCTGGCCTGTCTGAACCCTAATAATTAGGTAGAGCACTAGGCCCTTGTTGCAGAAAGAAACCTGGAACAAATTGACTCAGATTGTCATACCCTTGCAAGAATCCAGAGAAACCTTAGTTGATGGAGGCACCAAATTGTCCCCACCAGATTGCAAGTTCAAAATGATGAACTGTGGGTGGCTCATTGAAAACTCTTATCCTCTGAAGTATTTCACAATCCAGTTTACTCGTCAGGTCATGCTTCAGGATCAGTTTAAGAACAGTCCTGTTTACCACCCTATACTTCCAAGTGTAGCCATTTTCTGTTGTTCTATGTAATTGTGCTGAATTTATCCAGCAAAGCTTAAATTGAGTGATAAAACCATCAGTTTGGGAACCTTTATGTGCCCAAGCTAATCTGGGATAATATGTCACCAGAGGTCAGCTAACTTGACTAGATTTTGTAACTGGATCAATATTAGCTATTTTTGTGGAAATAAAACTGGATGCAGTTTTAACCAGTTTTAACCAAGCGATTCAACTGGCTTTTGAGGGTCGTTTGGATGGGCATCATATGCCATTTAGGAGGATTACTTTGTCCTGTTTAATACGGACTGAACTTGAGGCCCTTAGTAATACTAGTGTTGCGCTAGCTTCTTTTGTTTTGTTTTAGTTTGAATGTTGAAGAAGATTCTTGAGATGTATGATTTGGACAAATTCATGATCTTGGCCCAAGTATATGCATAATCATCTCTTATAATATGTTAATAAGTCAAAATTATTATGGAAGCCTTGAAATGTCACAAGTAGCAATGTCATTGATCTGTCTCTTGTCTCTTTTAAATGGTTGTAGTTTTCACTTTCCCTTAAGGTGTTGGTTAGTAATATTTTTGATTTATGTTCAGAAAGTCTGGCCAAGTTCCCACGAAGGAGTGCTCCATCATCTGCACAGCATAATTCAGCTCAGCAGCCTGAGGAGCAGCAGCAAATTACTGGAGACAATGCAAATAATGATCCTCATTCAATACAATCAAGTGTTCTGCAGCCTTCTACAAGCAATGGTGTTGCCCGTATAAACAACTCCCAGGGTGCAACATCCACTTCTACATCTGCTACCACCATTGTTGGGGTTCTTCATCAGAATTCCATGAATTCTAGGATTGAGAACCAGATGAACAATCCAAACAGTCCCTATGCTGGAACCCCAGTTCAGATCCCATCTGCAGGGTCCTCTACTACTTTGCCACCTGCTCAACCAAATCCCTCTTCACCCTTCTCATCTCCGACGCCGTCCTCTTCTAATCTCCCTCAAAGTTCTAATACATTGGCTCCTTCAATTACTGCAAACCATGTTAATTCAGCAAATTCATCTGCACAAATTCCACCGCAGCAGTCATCTCAGTCAAGTGAGGTTGACCCAAATGAATCCCAGAGCTCTGTTGAAAAAATCATTCCAGAAATAATGATTCCATCACAGTTCAGTGAAGCAGGTAACATGGTCAGTGTTGGCTCTGTAAGGAATAACTTGAAGAACGATAATGGGCCTCCCCAGGTTAGTGGTAGCTGCTTGATGGGGAATGGGTTCATTAATAACGGTTCAGGCATTGGGGGTGGAGGATTCGGCAACTTGAGTGGTGGTATGCGTCTTTCTCCAAACCCAACTGCTATGAGATCTGCCATGGGGAATAACTCCATGAATTTCAGTGGAAGGGTGAGCATGCCATTGATGCCTCAAGATGCTGTGAGCCATCATCAGCAACAAGAATTAGCTAACCGATTACTTAATGGGCTTGGAGCAGTAAATGGCTTTAATAATCTTCAATTTGATTGGAAATCCCCTTAAAACTGGCTTTGTTGATTACTCTTTATGAATTTGCTGAGGTTTGTGGGTGGTAATACAGAGTGCTTGTGCGATGCATCCTGGTTTGACTTTTGAGTTTGGAGTGGTGATGCATAGTTAGGAGGATTTCTTCAACCTGGTACTGATTATAGGGAAGGATATGATTACATTTAACTCAGCCGTGGCAGTTGAATAGTTAATTGTTCAAATCTTCTTTGATTCCCCTCCCCGCTTCTGTCTTAAGAGTGTGGTTGTAGGGTTCCCTGTCGATGTCCGTGTAATGTATATGGTTCTCATGTTATACCGTATCTTCTTTCTGTATAACAGGTGCCAAAAGGGAACTCTGGCTTGAGGCTTTCTTAAGTATAGCTTCCCAACATTGTTCTCTTTTTGATGAAATTTTGTATACATATATTGAATATATGCAGCCAAGACGAAGAAAAAAAAAAACAGTAGTAATGCAGTTATATGTAATGGATAAATTCTGAACAGCTTGTTTGAATGATGTTGGAAACAATTACTCGCCCTTGTTTGGAATGTGGTGTAAAGGCTCAAATTTGCCGTTCCTACTGTTCCAGGAAGAGGACTTTCAGGCTTCTAACACAGATTTAGTTCATTGCTTTGCTTATATTGTACATAATGGACAGTAAAGGAAACCTCGGAGCATGTATCTGAATAACAACGGGGACCTCATATGCGTTATTTTGGCTCATCACTTGTGTTTCCGCTACACTTACAAACCACTGCTTTCCCTCTGTACCCAGCTCCTACATCCTCCCTTGTTTTTTTCGATAAATCGTCATTCTGCATTTGTTGTTTCACGCTTGCTTCTTGCCACCGGCCAGAATACGTTGGATTTGAAGCCCTCGGCTGAAAGCTTGGTTGAACAGCAGCCTAGTCTGGAATTCTGAGACGAAGGGGAACCAGGCCAAGATGGCTACTGGGGCAAAGATGAATACCCCCATCATGTATTCATACCCTCTTGCTAGAGCCTTGACAGAACCCCACATTCCGATGCCCTTCACCACTGGCTGGCATGCTTGTGATATCTGATCATTTTTATCAAAAGAAAGCACTTAGTTATGAGTGAAATATACTTAATTACCACTATGACTATGAGATACGGGGTTATTGTACATGGGATGGATACTTATCAGAATAAATGTAAAGAGAGATTTCAGTTTCTCCTAGTACTGAATTTGGTTGGTGAGAGAAATGCACATGTCAATATCCTTTCCAAATCATGCATGCCCATAATTTCATATTTAGGTTCCCAAATTCAGAAAATCGGTCGCAAATAGAATGGCCCAAAGGATGGAAAAATGGCTCAAACTTCATGACAAAGATAATTATGTAGAATGCATAAGCAGACACTTTCAAAAGTAAAGCTTCTGGCAGTTGGCTCACTCACAAAATTAGAGTAGTCAGATTCGCTTATGCAATGTAGACGGTGTTAAAAATAAAAAGGTGGAATTTCTACAAAGACAAAAGTGCTTCTCACAATGAGCCAAGTACCTGCAGTAGAGCCCACCCTGTCGGCATAAAGGCTAGTAGGCTCTGAAAGATATCTCCAACTGTGAGATCAAGGAAATAAAACAGCATAGCAATAATTACTACAGACCCGACAAACAGGAGTAGCTTAAGAAGTCTGAACATCAGCTGGAAATCTGCACTGAACTTCTTTCTACCCATGGACACAATCTGCAGATTAAAAGTGCGTCAGTGTTTAGAGCTAATAACAGAAATCAGAATATTCTCATTTTGAATGATTACATGGAGTTTGAGCCTCACCTTTAAAACAACCATCACCGCAACAATGACCAGCCAGGACAGACCGTAAACCTGAAAGCATAATAGCAAAATAAATACTCTTGGTATTGCAAATTAACAATCCCAAGCTCAAGATCTTTCAATATGTAGCCAGGGTACAGAATTCGACTTGTATAAACGTTTTATTTGCCGAATGACATAAGAACAGACTGTTATGTGCTGCCATAGCATGCATCCTTTGGCATATACCGATATGCATCCTTAAGGAAGCACTAAGATGTAAAATCTTAGATCTATTTCTTTAATCCTTTTTTCTGAAAGATTTAATGATAAATTAATCAAAGAGAACATAGTAAAGGCCACAGTAAAAAAATGGTTTTTAACCTTGAAAGTTTAGATTACCGTCTTCCTTTAATGCTAGAGATGACAAGTTAAACAGTGATACAAGCAGAAGATGTTAAGAGGCTCATATACTAATACTCACCATGATGCTCTGCCGTATTCCTTGTCTGCTATTCTTGGTCATGTTTAGATGATACACAATTCCATACTGGTAAAGGAAGAAGCGCAGAGCAAGAACAATCTCCACCAAACGTCCCATAAACCCAGTGTGCTGCAGGTGTTGCTGTTCTTCATCCCACCAAGATTCCCAGCTCTTATTTGAGGGAACTCCAATACCACCTCTGCTGCTAATCCACTTTGCCCAATCTTCCCAATCTTCTACTATCTTTTGCCATTCAAATCCTGATGGGTTCAAAAGGAAAGGAGCAAACAGCCAGGAGACAACTAAAAACCACATTGAAAATGAGAGGAGAGCATAAGCTGTAGAATCTCTTGCCACAGAACCATATATCCTGTAACATATAAGCAATACCATAATCTCCAGCCCTTTTACAAAGTGGCTCCTTGAGTATAGTCGATAGTTCTCTGCAAATTTCTCATGCCGAACAACAAAACCACGCCCTGTTGCTCTGTATTTTGCCCCGCCATGCAGGATAGTGCGCCCAAAATAATGGACCCTTGTTCCAAGGGAGAAAGTGAAGAACACAGATGCCAACTGAAGCTGCATAATTATTATGTCACCTAATGCAGTTCTAAATCCTCTCTCTAATCCAATCTCCATGACCATGGGCAAGGCTGTCAAAAGGCCTAATTGAACAACAGACTGTGAAGCCATGGCTGCCTTTAGGGGATCATCTCCCTTTGCTGAAGCAAACTTAACTATTGACTGCTCCAAACCACTTAATGACAAATAAAGTCTTCCATACAAGAAAAGATAGACTGTAAAGACAACCAACTGCATAATAACAGGAAGGGGTTCACATTAGGTTAAAAGAGCTAAGGTAAGAGAGCCAAAAGAATCAAAACTACTAATTAATAAACTTTCGAATTAATCTGCATCTCTCATTGCTGGCCCACTCCACAGGTTTAATGTTTTCATGATGAAATGGCACTTATAAAGTTCACATTCGAATTACTTGAAAATCTACTCTGCTTCTATGTTCAAGGTCTCCATCCAAGTATAACCTTGAAAATGTGAAAGAAATTAATTTTCCACAGGCATTTTGGAATAAAAAAAGGGCTGAAAGTACAAGCAGGCCAGGTATATAGAAAAATATAGCAACAGAACAAAAGAATATTTTCAGGTTCCCATGAATCATATACTTGAAAGGAAAGACAAAAGAGAGCTCTTGATGAATAGAAAACCCTGCATCTAATGCAAAGACAAATGTGAACAGTGTGTGCATAGTTATTTAATGAGTAATAACCCAAGGGAAAAGAGTTTTTTTAACCTTCTCCCATTGAATCCATTCACATACAAACATAATAGAGGTTATTTTTTCTCCTGTTTTAGCTGGATTTCTTAAGAATGACTTAATTCCAATGACTACATTCAGATTTAGTCACTCAGAAAACAGGGCATTAATAATAGTGATTTTCCTTTTGGGTTTTTTTTTTTTCCCTTTTGGAGCAGTGGGTTTAAGGAGACAAACTTCTGGCTTTTTGCAGGAGCTGGGGTAGAAATCCACCCTAAGGTGGGCAGGTGAATCATCAGGGAACTATGTTATTTGAACTTAAAAGTGAGTGTCAAATATGAATATGTGTCTGACATGGGTATGTTCAATTTTTTCTAAGTTTTTCCTTATATTGGATCTCCATACATAAGTCCGTTGGGTATTTGCCGGACACAGTACTTCAAGGAAAATGAAGAGTCAGAGCAACATATCAGGGAAAGCCCCAGGTTCAATTTTTCTTTACTTTGTGCATAGTAGTTTTTCAATTATAGCTTCAATCTTGCAAGGAAAACGAATTACCATTGAGCTGACATAAAATCCCACTGTTGTAAAATAGCACGACAACATGCGGAAAAAGTCAAAGCGATGGCCTAATCTGTAGATGTCCCTGCTAAGTGTCTGTTCCCCATTACCACAAGCCACTTTTGCTTCAAAAAGTGATATTTGGTTGAGCCCAACATCCCGACCTTTCCCAACTTGAATATACTCATGATGAGTAATGTTCCCTCGTCTTAGGGTCGAGTTGAAACCTGTGAAGGTACAATAAGTATCAAGAAAAATAATAATATGAATTCACTTAGGAGTAGGTGGTTTAAAATCATTACCAGCAAAGATGTCCTCGCTCAAATTGATGCCACGAGAACCCTTGCTGATGCCTCCACGGGTTATGTGGAAGATTCTATCAAACACATCTGGATGACCATAATGGAAACGAACCCTAAAACCCACCAAAAACATTTTGAGATATATGATCGTCATACCCTGGAACCAACATGGAAAACACTTGCATTCCAACATGAGAGAAAAACTTAATATAGCTGATTATTGGTTGTCCTAATGTTTGCTGTCTAACAAAGAAAGTAACAACACAGAAAGAAAATAAGGTCGGAATAAAGGGCTGGCTGGGGGGAATTAGAAATATCAGCAGTGTAATGAAACATAATATAGCGAATTTCTGATATGAGGATAAGCTAGCATTAAGCACCGTAAAGCAATTTTCAACATAGCATTAGGGTATTACCTCTCACAAATGGAAAACGCACTGCAATTCATTTGTCATAAAGTATTCTCTCAGAAATATAATTTAACAAATTGATATTGCTTTTTCTTATGAAATAATTGCCTGATACAGTTATCTGATGAAAGAAGTAAACTTTAAGAGATCAAAACATACTTCAATGGTCGTGCAAGAACTCTTTGACCAATGGTGACAAAGCTCGTTTCTTGATTGGACATGAACCAAGCCAAAGAAGATACACTGCATAATAGATTACAAAGCATAAAATAAAACCACCAGATTTTGACATAAGTAAAACCTTAACAGCTATTGACAAGAGGAAGCAAACAAACAAACAAGCAAATATAATAAAGTTCATTCAACCTTCCAGTAAAGATATGCTCACGAACTCCTAAAATTGTAGGCGGTCGTACTCCATGATCCTCATTAAATTCTTCCAAAAGATTACGCATTTTGAATGCTTCTTCCAAGTAATTGTCCTAGAAAAAGTTGTAGTAATATATCATCAGATCTACTGCAAAAATCTTTAATATTTCAATAATTAAAAACTTTTATTGCCTACCTGATTCATATCAATGGTCTGAAGAGCTTCTCCACGAGTAAAAACTATAGCGTGATTCTGATTTTCAGGCTTTCCTTCTCCTAGCTTTGCATTCCCAGGCAATTTTATTCGATAAATTTCCTTCAGAGAAGATAAAAAGT